AAAGTGTGCGAGCTGGGTGAGTGGGGTCCTTCATGATGCAGGTGGCTCTCTTCCTGCATCTGGAGGCGTAAATGTCTGTGATGGTGGGGAGACTGACTCCAACATCTTCTGTGCAGCCTTCACCACTCTCTGCAGAGCTTTTCTTTCTGCAGCTGTGCAGCATCCATGCTGCACGTTGGTGCTGGAGCACAGGATGCTCTCCACTGCACACCTGTAGAACGAGGTGAATACTGAGCTTCCCAGTCCAGCTAGCCTCAGCTGCCTGAACAGCCATTGTAAAGAAAATGCACTATATATTGGCTTTTTAACTTGGGTTTGATAAATTAAATCTCTACTTTACAAAAATCAGATTTGCTTCACTCTCGTTTATCTCATAGCCTTTTTAAAAAGCAGTCTATACTTCAGATTAAAACTCATTGCTTCATCAGACCAGTCTAAATGAAAGAGCATTAAGTAAAAGGGTGATTTTAGGATACTTTGTGTGCATTACTGCCAAAGAAGCTATTTTTCCCCGAAGATGCATGTATAAGATTGCTTTTAAATGTGATGTTTGATAGCTAACAGAGAATGAATGATGGCTTTTGTCCACTCAGGGATCTAAGACTCATTATTCCACTATTATCATTCTTGCCAGTGACTGTGGAGAACTTTTCCCTCTTGTCGTTTGCCTGTTTGAGAAATGTATAAGGGGCCTGGGGTGTCCATTATGAAGCCAAAATGACTGCAGCATTTCAGCCACAGTCTGCTAAAAGAAGCTGGGGGCTGTGAGGAAAGGCTGCAGCTTCCAAAAAGAGAAAAAAGCTTTGTGAAACAATCCTACCATTAATGAAGATTAAGATTTCAGTCCATAGAGTCGCTTTTCAGATGGTTAAAAAAAACAGAATCTGTCTTCAACATCAGATTTCAAACATTGATGTAACACTGTGAAATCACTTTGATACATTTGTACTCAGTACTGAAGTCACTGTCACTACAAGCTGTCGATCATTTTGACCTCAATTTAGTTACAGTATGTCATATTACATTTTGTTTCTAGATATTTTGTTTGCATTTTAACTTAATCTAGTCTTAATGTTGTCAAGTGGAGTCATTTAGTCATTTAAGTTTAGCCAAAAGGTTGAGTTTACTTTTTAAAGTAAGACTCGTCGATGCAAATTATTAGACCACATTTATGTTCAGCTCATTAATCAGAATGATTGTGTTGATAGAGCAGACGTGGAGTATGTTGTTCTTCAGAAACAAACTGATCTTTATGTTTACATGACCCTGTATTTGTAACTGAACTATATATGCACTGAAAATTGGTTTCACAACAGAAAGAATATAAATAGAAATATATAAATATTAAAGTTAATTTCCATTCCATATCACTTAACCTTCGGTATAAGCTTGGCATAACAGTCAAAATTCAGTTGGTAGCTTATTTTAATAAACCTCTGAGTCAGATGCATCAGTTGATGTGACGGAGTATTAGGGCCACACTAAAAGAAAAAAAAAAATACATTACAAGAAAAATGTCATAAAATTATGAGAGTAAAGTTGTACTATTATGACTGTAAAGTTGTAACATTACGAGAATAAAGTCGTATGAGGATAAAGTAAAAATATTGCAAAAATAAACTTGTATTACGACAACAGTCATTTTTAAACGTAAGACTGCAGATGGAACCACCTATATCCTTGCAGTCGACCACTGCCAGAAAGTTCCTCTTCCACAAAAGAAGCAATATCTTCCAAATCCATGTGGTTCTTTCTTCAAAACAGACAGTCGTTTGCACAATCGTTTCAAAGTCCTGTTACTGACAATAATCTGATGCTGATGTGCTAACAGATTTATTTGCAAAACGATTACAAAAGTATAACTTAACAACAAGCCCAATATTCATCATTTTACCGCAGTTGCTTTTTCGTATCTGAGTTCTGATAATATTACGATTTTATTCTGGTAATATTACAAATTTATTCTCTTAATACTAGGACTTTATTTTCATAATTTACGACTTTATTATCATAATACTACAACTTTATTCTCATAATACTACGACTTTATTCTCCTAAAACTACAACTTTATTCTCGTAATATTACAACTTTATTCTCGTACAACTTTTTTCTCATAATATTACGACTTCATTCTCAGAATACTATGAATTTATTGTTGTACGACTTTATTCTCATAATTTTATGACTTTTATTTTCTCGTAATGTTAATATTTTTGCCCCTTGCTTATTAGGGCTGTGCATAACCTTAATACTCTGTTGTAATTGCAGACTTAACATTTCTGGTAAATAAAAACAACATGTAAAATATTTAAAGGAAAAATAATTTGCTTAGAAACACTGAAATAGTATAAATTGCCACCCATTCTTGTCATAATAAAGTGCATTCATAGATTTGCTTGTTTTTGTTTATAACATTGTCCTTTGTAAAAAAATATAAATCATTAGAACTGTTTCAGATTTAAAGCTGATCTCCATAATGTTAAAAGTAGAAAAGATGATAAATTTAAGCTGGAATTTGAATCAAACTTTAATCACATCAGACTGTATGTTTATGGTGAGTTGGCTACACCAAAGGAAACTTGATGAAATGGAACCAGAAACCCTCGGGAACAGACTGCTCTGTTTTTAGTGCATATTGTTTTACTGGTTTTATCATGGCCAACTAACACATTGGGACATTGTATAAGGCCCAACAAAGTTATGTCAGGTCCTCTGGATGGTTTATTTTTTTGTTGAAACATTTCGTCCTTCATACAAAGGACTTCATCAGTGCGAGGAGCCACAATAAACTCAGTCCCATGAGTGGCTTACTCACATAGTGGGCCAACCAGTTTGATGGTGAAAAAACTGATATTTTTCATGATTTTTTTACTTGGATTATTGAGCATAAACTTTTATACTTTGCATGAGAGTTAAAGCATTAGACAGATTTGTATTATTATCAATTATATCCCATTCTATTGAATAGATTGCTCATAGTTAGTAGTGCTGCAATGCTGAAAACCACCCCCTTGCACATGTTGTGGTACATTAATGTCTGTTTTGCTCTTTTTTCCCCCTTGCACATAAAAATGATAAATCTTTCACTTTGGAGAACAGTGTACTTCTTGCTTATTTCTAAACTTTCAAACAAAAAATTACATTTTTTTTATTCTATTGTAAACTTGACATTTCCCTTTTTATTGATGTTTTTTTCTTGTTATGCTTTGACTAAAAAGAAAAAAGAGAGTGCATTTTCTTTTTCCTGAGATCTTCTCTTGCTTGTCATCTCCTGTTCAGTATAGTCTTCCTATTCTTCCTAGACTCATGATTCACTGAGCTAATGTAGTTTTGCGCATGAGGTCAGCAGATGAAATAGTCATTTGTCACATTAAGCATCTGTCATCTTCACCATACATACTCTCTCCCGTCCCCCCACTTTTTTTTTTGTATTGCCACAATCACAACATCACTTCCAGTAATATAAACTCTTTCCCCCATTTTGACCTCTACATTTTAACCCTCTCATTTTATTTCTAAATGTAATCCCTTTTCCCCACATTCACTCCATCTTCAATTACATCTTAGCATATTTACTTCATGGTTGAGCAACTGACATCATAATAACTCACTTATGTTTAGAGCTCGTGCCTGATGAGTTGTCTTATCATGTTTTCTCTAAATGGTTAACACAAAATCATGTGGCTTTATTGTGTTAAATTTTACACACTTTAAAGCAGACCATAAAAAGGCAGCATCATGAAATAGAGGGTTTAATTGTTGCAATGCCCAATTCACTGGCCTGTTTTATGCAGGAAAAATAAAAGCCCTTCTGTATAAGAGATAGTGGGTAGAATTTTAAAGGCAGAGTTGGCTATCCATGTCCTGTGCCATATGCAAAATTTGGACAATTCCAGCAGTATTATTATGCCCTATTATACGGCTCGTAAAAAAGATAGAGGTTAAAATTAAATGCAAATTGACTTTTCATTTAAAACTGTTTGCAATTGGATACTTGCCCCTTTTACTTTTCTGGTTAATAAATTTGAATGGGTTTTGCATGTTATGATGACTAAGAAAATATAGAATTGTATTTGCATTATAGTTTGGGAACAAAAGGAAAAAAAGCATAGGTTGAGATTTTGGAAAACGTGAAAATACTTAAAAAAGGGAACCAGTGACGTTGATTCAGTTTTTTTAACACAAGTTTGGCAAGACAATATCAGTTTTGGGTGTACAGGAACCATTTATTTTAGTTAATAGTTAGTTGTTATGAAATGTAAAGAGCAAGAACTGTGAGCCAGATCAGTGCAACCTTTAATCTAGCAGCTGCCATTAAATATTCAACATCAGTTTGACAGAGCGGCTCTTCAAGCCAGCTTCAAATTTATCTAGAAGATGACATTTTAAATCCTACCAGACATGCTGACATGCTTAAAAAAAGGATTTAAAAAATAAGAATGTGGGGACTGGATGAGCCCACCACAGACATTATAAATATGCGTCTGTGGTCGTAATCCCTGTCTGTTCACACAATTTCACCAGGAAAATAAAACTAAATGCTTTAAGAAACAGTTTTTAGTTCAAAGACATCCTGTTGCTCATTTTTGTTGTGTCACACTAAAATATTCAGATTTTTTTCCTCTCCTTCTCCCTTCATTTCATGCTGTTTTCTCAAATATACACAATTTTTTTTTTTTAAGTTTCATTATTCACCTACTGGCTTCAAGAGGTTATTGTATGAAATTAAAAAAAATAAATGAACAGCTGTCTCTCCTTTGTTTATGGACAATGATTAGCTGATGGCTTGCATTGAATCCCTCATGTGCACACATTATGCATCTTCAGTTTCACCTCCCTTTACATTCTGTGATTTGTTTCCCACCTGCTAAGGCTCTGACGTAATTCTTATCTTAGACACTGTCTGAAAAGTTTATATTTAACTCCACAGTAAAACTTGATGACTGTTCTGCATTTTTATTTACACCCCTCTTCTGCTTTTCTTATTTCTCCTCTCCAGCATGTGAGTTAATGAACCAGGGGATTCTTGCCCTGGTTACATCCACTGGCTGTGCAGCCGCAAGTGCCCTGCAGTCTCTAACAGATGCTATGCACATCCCGCACCTCTTCATCCAAAGAAATGGGGATGGTGCACCGCGAACCGCTTGCCAGCTCAACCCCAGCCCAGAAGGAGAGAGCTACACGTTGGCTGCCCGTCCCCCAGTTCGGATCAACGATGTCCTGCTCACCCTCATCTCTGAGCTGCACTGGCAGAAATTCATCATCTTTTACGAGAGCGACTATGGTGAGTGGAAAAAAAAAAAGCCTGACTAGCTGATCGCTAAATGTATCTGATAGACATTACATTTGTATGCAAGATAATCTCGGCACATCCATTTAGATGTAAATGCTCCAAAACCATCCCGGCTGTCACTGGAGATCAGGCCTCTGCTAAAGTGAAGTCATATGATTGCTGAGAATTCATATGCTCAGAAAACACTAAGTGGGAACTAAGATGAAAGAAAACACCACCACACAGACACACTTATTACACACACAGGCTGTTAAAAAATAAATCAAAGTTAAGTGAAAATTGTAAGGAAAAACAAGATGTTGTTGCTGCATCTACTATTGGGCTCTTCATGATGAGACGAGTCTGGGCTTAATTGGCTCATTTGAGGCACCCTCCTTCTGTGAGGGTCCATCCCGACGGTACTAAATTTATTCTCAGATCCTCTCCACTTCTGTTATTTCTCCTATGACGACGCTCGACAACAAACCTTTCTTGACCCACATTTGGCTAGAGGCACTCTGGATCAAGAAATTATTGGCTAAGGAAAACCGAGTAGGGAGTAAATATCACTGCGTTGCCATTCCTCAGACGAGTCTTTGCCTCTGCTGGCTAATCTTTTTACTACTTGGAGGAGTGTAATCTGGAAGAGAGTATAAATCTGATTTACTTTTTTCCCCAACTTTGAAAACATCTCAGCTACATTTGATGCAGTGTGTTGTAAAGCATCATCTTACCATCCTTTGTTTTCTTCCTTCTTTTTGTTTTGGGATAGTTAGGAGAAATGAAGAGCTGTTAAATGTTTAAACCAGAGTTTGTACCTGCATGGCGAGCCTCTTCGTGTTAATGTATCCAAGATGCAGCTTGGTAGTTACATACTTCTGTCCTTGGAATTGTTTATGACATTGGCGCTCTTTGTAGAAAGTGCATTCTCAGCATTTGACTGTATTGATTAAAAACTCCACCATAGAAAGAGCATCTGTCTATCAACGGACCATTCTGACAAGCTCTCTGTTTCTAACTACTTTGCCCCCTATACGTCTCGAGGTCACAATGTGTATGAGTGTCAGTTCTGCAATAGATTTTCCCTTTCTTTCATTCTGTACCTAACAATCTTATTACCATTGGTTTCTGTCAGATAAGCTGTCTGCCACACCAGAAGATTGTGTGTGTGTTTGTATGGGGTGGGGGGGGACTACATGGGTGTCAAATGGTCTGATGGACTAATTAAATGTCTATTCTGCTAGTTAGCTATATGTCAGTTTTGCAATCCACAAATCAATATACCTGTCTGCATTCTCAGTCATTTTTATTCTGTTGGAAACCTTTCCAGTTCTTTGAATAATGTCAGGAGCCCAGGTAACAAGCACGCACCATGGATTGCACTGCAACTCAAATCAACAGTTTTATTAAAGGAAATGCTGAATATGATCCAGTTTGTTCATGTTCAATTACGATGCTAGTTTGTTAGTGTCGAACTAAAAAAGAATAGGCCAAATTTTCATATTGGCTTTAAGACAGTCTTTGAATTGTTTTTCTCAATTGAAAGGGTTGCTTTATTAAATAATGCATTACCATTTACGCTTTCTAACATATATTCCTATAATAGACTATTTAGAAATGTTTGTTGATGGCAAGTGTGATATGAGCAGCTAATGAGGAAGGATTCAAGCTTTCAAGGTTCTTTATTGTCATTTGCATCATATGTTCATTCAACCTTTATTTAGACAGGTAAATCCCATTGAGCCTCGAGGACTCATTTACAAGAGAGACCTGATTTCAACAATGTGATACACGAGGTGGAACAAAATAGGCAGACAGAGGATTGTGTTAGCAGCGTTAGCAGGTCTAGTTAGCAGGTCCCGTCAGCAGCTTGATGATAATAAGGACCGCAGTGCTGCCTACCAGACTGCCCTCCAGAACTGGGTCCGGCAGATGGAGAACATCTAAGGTTTTCACGTGGAACTGAATGGGTCCGTAGAGTTTGGTCCATGCAGGCAGATGGAGGATCAAGGAGACAGCTGCCATGACAGAACTGAGCCCGAGGCTGGAAGGTCTGAACCATGATGGCACAATGGCAAGGCAGCGACACTGAAAACTCCACAAGTGTGTTGCAGTCATAACTGTAACTGTACCGTGGATGTGCACTGTAGGCACCAAAAAAAAAGCTAAAACAAAAACAACAGGAACAAAAAAAAAATTGAGTTCACTGGGAGCTTGTGAAGCTGCAGCTCGGCTGAGCATGGCCATCTTGGCTCTATATATATATATATATATATATATATTGCCAATCACAACTACATGCTGCACTTACATTTCCAACAGATTCCTTTTTAAAAATGCACCAGATTTTAAAGCAACGTCTCTTAAACAAATCCCAAAGATACGACATCAATCCAGAACTCAATAAGTGACATAACTGTGACTTTGTCCACCACTTTTGTAGAACTATAATTTGATGTTTGTCAGTAAATATCACAACCAAGTGAATGCATCTTGTCTTAGCAGCTTCTGTCCATCCCTATCCTGCCACTGGCGGATGTCAAACCTCTGCTGTGAAAGATCTGAGCTGACTTCAGACACATGAAGTACTTTACATCTAAAACATGTATTTATTGAAACAATCCAAAGTTTGAACAATTATCCTTGTTTATTTGATAGCTGTATCTGTGGTTATCTTCCACTAAGCAATAATTTAATTAAGGAATGTGGCAGCAGATCAGAACCATTGTCTGCCTGTTTGCCTCGATGCCGTATTATACTGACCTATATCAGTGTAATAATAATAATAATAATAATAACTTTTATTTATAATGCACTTTTTATGTATTTGTCACTGTTAAGTATTTATTCTATGTACAGTTTATACTTCTTATTTGGTTTTCAATTTATAAAGAGAAAAATGTTTGATAAAATAAAAAACAATTCTCTTTTAATGTGTATATATATATATATATATA